CATCAAACCATATTCCTAGAAATTTAAACAGTTTCATACGCTCAAGAACTTTTCCGTATAATTTAATTTCAACATTGTTAATTCACAACTCATTTTGCTGATGCAGGCTCACTGCACTCCCTAAACCCTAACCTTCCTATATTATTAAATGAAAAGCTGAAAATAATAACTATGATGCATGCGATACAATTTTATTCAGTGTGTAGGCAAATTAAAAAAAACTAACCAAGACAATTCTGATACATTACTTTTTCATTGTTTTTTGTTATTATTTTACAATTATAAATGATGAAAATCATTCATTTTGAAGTTTCCCATTGTTCTTAATGCATACTTCAAAATAAAATATTTTAAGAGGACACGATAGGACAACAAATCCCATGATACATTGCGATAGGCGTGGCCTCATGAAAATCTGAAGAAGGTTCCATCAGATTCTACTGCGGAAGGTCGCCATTTTTGAGAACGACGAGTCGGAGGTAGTTGCTTATATTCTTCATCCGTGGTCTTCACTCAATCGATATTTACTTATTGTAGTCTTACAACTGTTAACCTCAGTAACATATTTTGACGTGGTAAGTAGTGGTGGCGTTATTTGTTCGTTAAATTAACCTTTTCGTCGATTTTGTTTTGCAATGATTCGACGTCGTCTCGCCACAACTGCCACATACGCTCTGTGCCTGTTAACGCCATTTTATGTCAAAATTACATCATTTGTTTTTATGTTTTTAAACGGCAACACTGTTTTTTTTTTTGCAGCGTTGTCGGTTACAATGTTCATAAAAGAGTGATAACAAAAAGATGGGTGTTATTTTTCAACGTTATAAGTTGTGCTTACGTAACTAAAACAGATGCAGGCCTAAAAGTCCACCTTGTTCTTTCGGTGCATCGTTCGTAATCAAACGAAACAATCAGCATCTGCCCATTCTGTTRACTACTATTTACTTTAATTAGCCGAAGAGCCAGTTAATGTGTTTACGTAATGTTTTACAACAGTAGTTTAAGTGCGTTTTGACCGAGTTAAGGCTTCAACAGAGGCCTAGTCGTAGAAATGTCGGGTTGACGTAATGACACCGTAAAACTGTCAGGAACCGTACAAKAATAAATGTGACACATTGATGCAGGAAGTTTTTGTCTTGTATTAAATTTCGCRTTACGAACACGTTTATTATTATTTGATATCTTCGAGTGGATTTTGTACACATTAATTCAATTTTTGCGAACTTTACAATTAAATAATTTTGATAATTGTAATAACCCCCRTTGTGTTTTCCAGATGCGTAACTCAAAGCGAATGCGCTCTCCAGGTGTATGGCTGGATGAGTACATGTGGGAGGAAAGAATGGAGTGTCGTAAACGCAGAAAACGAGATTCATGCAGCAGCGAAAGAGAAAATAAATCCCGAAGGGCTCCCCATCACCACAAGACCCACGGCGGGTAATTATTCTCTAGTGTTAACAAAGCAATGMGCCTGTGGGACKGGATCTTAGGATTCAGTGTATTTYMTACAGTYAMTTGAGTTCTACAACACAACTAAGCSAGATGTAAATGTGTACAATTTTTTTCCTCTGCAGTTTCAGTTAACTAGCAGTAACATTAGTTTTAGTTGGGTAACAAATAGAAATGCCTTTGTTGCAAATCCAGTTACACATTATTGAAAAGCACCACCTACTGGTTTTGTTTAGTAACTATTCAAGCATGCACAAAGTGTAATAGTGCACCTTTTATATAAACACAAATATGTATTTCTAAAACAGAAGTTTTTATTACTGGCTTTGTTACAGCAAATAACATTGTGCTTGTTCTTAAAGTTATCTTAAAAAGAGTACCTTAATTAGGTACATTCTCAGGTTTTCTAAAGAAAAAGAAAAAAAGAATTACAGTACTACAAGTGGACACCTGAGGGCAGTGTTGAAATTCATGTTTGGAATTCTTCATTGTTTTTCCATTTGACAACCAACTCCATAGTCAAGTCATTGTAGTACTAATGAAAATTAATTTTAAAATGTCTGAGATGGATATAGTATGAAACTTTTAATGCAAGTTCTCCCACTTTAAATACAGTTTTCTGAATTTATTTTATTTTATTATTATTTTTGCTGGAGAATATGAGCACAGGTCAACATCGTTTTAAGTGAATCTACCCACTTTGCCTTCAGGTTATCAGGTGAAAATAAAGTAGAATACGCTTTAAAATCTCAGTTTCTGACAGCATTTTACTTGCATCAGTTGCAACCCTTGAATTTCTGGACTAAAGCATTGAGTATGAAACTCTTAATGCAAGTTCTCCCACTTTAAATACAGTTTTCTGAATTTTTTTTATTTTATTTATTTTTTTGCTGGAGAATATGAGCACAGGTCAACATCGTTTTAAGTGAATCTACCCACTTTGCCTTCAGGTTATCAGGTGAAAATAAAGTAGAATACGCTTTAAAATCTCAGTTTCTGACAGCATTTTACTTGCATCAGTTGCAACCCTTGAATTTCTGGACTAAAGCATTGAGGATTTCAATATATTAAAACATAGTTTCAAACATAAATATAAGAAATTATGTTCTGTGTTACTTGTARTGAAGCTAGATTTTAAAAATGCATGCTTTTGGTGAAAACTGGCAGTCTGTAATGTCTTTGAGTTGTAAATTGTCTGTTGTTCAGTAGATATTTATATAATAATGCACTGAAGCCCATTTAACTTAATATTAGTTTTGGTGTCCAAACAACAAAGTTATGAAGTGAAACTTTGCTGTTGTGTTGCAATTCTACCTTTTTGTGGACTACATATTTTGGTCCACGAGGTTACATTYGATGTTTCCAGATCTACTCTAATTTTAGTTCTGTAGAGAGGCAGACTCCTTATTGGCAGACAGCTGATACTAACTGGGTGCTAAGGCACAAGGGGTTTTTAGTCTTTTTATGGGTGCTAACATGACAGGCTGGACTGGAGTTAGCTCCAAGTGATTGGAAACTGAGAGTTGCTGTGATACTGGGGAAGAAAAGTAGATGCAGAAATATGAATTAAGGGAAAGTTTGAAAAGTAAAATTTTTGGTTATATCAGCACTAAATAAGCAGTTTAACTAGCAGATTTATAAGCARACAGGTGTTTACTTCTGGAGCTTCAAGATGAATAGCGGATTATATTACGCACCATCAACTTTCAACTGCCAATGTGGCGCTCTGACAAGATGAACACTTTTAGAGCRAAGTTAGGCAGATGTATAATTAATAWATTTGCCAAACATGAAGTTTCATGTTTTCCCAAGTAGACCATTTACAAGACTATTTTGGCAATGATAAGTTATCAATCTGTTCCCTGAGCTGCAGTAACTTATTGAACAAGATGCAGTCTATTTGATCAGCATGCTGCCAATAACAAATGTTATATAAAAGGTTCAGGGATAGAGTGTCAGGCAAGAGGCTGACCATTAACACATCTCACTCAGTCTTCATGTTGTTGCTGGATCAGTTAAGAACGTGGGCTCTACTTGACCCGATTTAACCGATTAAGTGCTTCTTTTTAAACGTTTGTCGTAATTTGTTTGATTTCAGGCAGTACCTGGAGGCTCGCAGTTCAAACCAGAGGCTGGATTCTCAGGAGAGGTATTCATGTGAAAGAAGTTTCGACGTGGCCTGCGGCAACGACGGTCATGAAGATGCCTCTAAGGAAAAAGACCGTGACTGGCACCACTACAGCAAGTCATCGGGYCGTAGTGGGCGCAGCAGACGAAGCAAGCACAGAGACCAGAGGCGCAGACGAAGTCATTCTCGCCACAGGTCCTCCTCGGTACGGGAACTTCTACTTCTATCCTCTTGTCTATATCACCAGATTGAATGAGTCATTATCACTGGTGTTTAGCCAATGCTAAATACCCATCTCTGTGTCTTTATCTCTGTTGTACACTTCTTAACTTAGCATGATTTCCAAATATGATAAATAGGACATTTTGGGGAATAGAAAGTAAGGTTTTGGGGGTATTTAAAAATATGAAGTAGAAAAATGGACCCAATTATTGTGACAAAGTTTAAGTGGTCAGTCATGAAACATGTTTTATAGAAACATTGATGAAGTTGATGTTGAAAAGAAAAAAAACGTAATCAGTCAAGTTTAATTTTTTTCTGTACTACTCTGAGAAACTCTCTCATCTGTAAATCTTGTTGCCATGTTTTTCTTCTGTAACACACARCATGTGGTGGCCGCCGCCCAATTTCTCTGACGGGGCTGAATTTGCATTTGCTGCTCCGTCCATTCGCCTGGTGGTGTTACTGAACGGGCTGAATCTGTCCACCCCTTCACCTCCCCCTTCGGCCGGGTTGAATGAATGACGATGTCGCATTGTGGTGGCCGGTTGCTGTCTGATGGGTTGTTGTCTGATGGCGGATTGCTGCGGTTCCGGTGCAGAGGACGAGCCGTCGTCGCAGGAGCAGGAAAAGATCCCGGAGTGTTGAGGATGATGACGAGGGTCACCTCATCTTTCACAGTGGAGACATGCTGAGAGCGAGATGTATAGAATATATACCTTTTTTTTCTACTGTTGTTCACACTTTGTCTCTCTCACTCTCGTTGTCTGGTTATTTCCAATCATTAATTTAGAGCCTGATATATTTATAATCTTAGTATTTTTATTTAGATTTTGGTCAGCTATTGCTTGTCAGTTAAACTTAAAGAACTGAATTGTAAGCCAATGTTCAAAAGCCTGTTTTTAGTATTTCTAGCCATACAGAAATATAACACGTTGCAGTAAAACGGCTAAAGGCCAGTGTTTCACTCTGTCACTTCAGGGGCTCTAATTTCACTTCTCTATTTCCTGTAGATGAGATAGTGTGTACTCTCGGAGAGGGTGCCTTTGGGAAAGTTGTTGAGTGCATTGATCACACAAAGTAAGTTCTGGTTCTAGTTGTCAACGTTTCTTTTAACTGTTTGTTAATTTGCCCAATTGTAATCCCAACAACCTGCCTGTCTTTTAGTAATGGAGCTCGAGTGGCTCTGAAGATTATTAAAAATATAGACCGCTACAGAGAAGCAGCTTTGTCTGAAGTAGAGGTGCTTAAACACTTGAACTCCCTCAACACTGACAGAAGATAGTAAGTAGACTCGTGCAACACATGGCTGCGACAAAATACAAAAATGTTTGTTTTATTGTACAAACTGTTTAACTTCTTTTTCTCGTTTCCTGAAAGTGCTTGTGTGCGTATGCTTGACTGGTTCGACTACCACGGTCATATTTGCATCTCCTTTGAGCTGCTCGGCCTCAGCACGTACGACTTCCTGAAGGAAAACAACTTCCAACCTTTCCCTGTTGAACAAATCCGGCACATGGCTTACCAGATCATTAGAGCTGTGAAATGTGAGTAATTGGGTCCCACTTTGTTCTCAAAAGGTATTTTTTGGGGGGGAAAAAAGTGGATTTAAAATGTATGTCTTCTCTTTCAGTTCTGCACAACAACAAACTGACTCACACAGATTTGAAGCCTGAAAATATTCTCCTAATAGATMCAGACTACGAAATGGAATACAACCATGAAAAGGTAATTTATTAAAACGATCAGTACTGGCGTAACAAAGATAGAAAGTTTTGACAGCAGTTGTTTGATCTTGGTGTGTTTGTTTACACATTCTTGTTTCCAGAGAAGAGATGAAAGAACACTGAGGAACCCTGATGTGAAAATTGTAGACTTTGGTAATGCTACATTTGATCACGAACACCACACGTCTGTGGTGTCAACACGTCATTACCGTGCTCCTGAAGTTATTTTAGGTAAGTGACTTTTCTAGTTGGCTAAAGGTTTAAAGTCAACAGTGATCTGTGATTCATGTAGTTTCTGTCTTTCAGACTTGGGCTGGAATCATTCCTGTGATGTCTGGAGTATTGGTTGTATACTCATTGAGTATTACCTCGGAACCACCCTCTTCCAGGTAAGTGGCAGCTGGGAGTGAGTTTTCCCTGCTCCTCTCTAATTACCCCAGTATTTACCAGTTCTGTTTGRATTGTTTTCCCATTCAGACTCATGACAGTAAAGAGCATCTTGCAATGATGGAGAGAGTCCTGGGTCCCATTCCTACAAAGCTTCTTGAGAAAACAAAGTAAGGGTTCATTCTCTGGCTAAACATTACAGGTTCATGTTCTTTATAATCATATTTGCATCTTCATATTCTTGAGTGAAAGTGTTGCATATTGACATGTCTCTAAACAAATACAATGCTTAAATATCAAACTTCTCTTTTTATATTAAAAACAAATGTGTTGTGATTGTGTGTTGTGTAGAAAACGGCGATACGTCCATCGCAACAGACTGGACTGGGATGTTCACAGCTCYTCAGGGAGATATGTCAGGAAACACTGCAAACCCCTCAAGGTAAGAAAAGCTACTTTACTTTGCTGTAGTTTCTCCCAGCCTCGTGTTTTTAACCTGTTGCAACATTAAAACAATAAGTAATYAACACTGTTCTTTAGTGACTTTGACCCCCTTTTTTATTCCTTCACCAGCATTATATTGCTTCAAAACGTGAAGACCATCGGCTGCTGTTTGACCTGATCCAGAAGATGATGGAGTACGACCCGACAAAGCGTCTCAGTTTGGAGCAGGCCCTTGCACATCCCTTCTTCTCCTGCTATAAGAGCAGCAGCAGCAGAAAAAGCAGCAGCAGAGGCAGCAGCACCAGAAGCAGCAGCAACAGTAGCAGCAGGAGCAAATGAGGCTGAACTTGTGAACCTTTGAACCTCTGACCRGTGTCTTCGGTCAGGATCCACCTGCCACCATGACATTCATCATGGAGCCATCAGCCTCTTCCTCCTGACTCCAGGAGAGAGCCCCTCTGACTGTATCAGTCACCGCCCTGCTTTGTTTTCTGAACATCAAACCAGTTTTAATGTTGTTTTGTTATTTATAGTTCAAAATGTCCCATCAATGTACATCAATTTAAATTGGTAATTCCCTTGCTCCACATTTTTTTCTTTCTGCTTTGTGGTATAGGTGATGGGTAATGTAATGRGAAGAAAYTCACGWTATTTCTTTTGGTTWGTGGATGTAAATATAAAAAATATAYTAGAAAACATGTACATAAGACTTGTTAAGATATTTACATTTTTTTCATTGATGATATGTAATGTTTGCAAAATGTCAATAAAAAACATTTGTGCATTATTGGATGCAGTAGCAGTTGTGGTCCACATGGTGGCAGCAAAGTGACTTTATATTGAAGTCTGCTTCAGACTGCTTAGGTTTGCCACCACAAGTAATCAGAATGCARGTCACCCGCCTACTTTTAAATTGAGCTCATCTTATGATAGAGTTCAACTAGTTTTGGCTGAAACCTGCAAAGTTCATAATATCGTAATCAGCTGGCACGGTGAYGTGAGTGTTGAGGATGATGCACAGACAAAAGGTCAGTTTCTCCTGGCTAAAATAGCCACGTTGAATTGGTCTGTCTCTAAAATTGTAGAAGTGCATCCAAGGACAACTTTAGGAACATTTTATTATAAATGTAGACAATCAGTGCTTCGTGAGATTTTAACAGACAAAAACTTTTTGCCTTCACCTGCTGACGGTAATAAAAACTACCCAGCTGTAAAAGGTTTTACCTTAAACKGCTGAAGTGACTGAAAACAGGTTCTGAGTCTCAATTTTGATGTATTTGTGCATTTATTTTGCCCACACATTACAAATGTTGAGTAAAGACAACTAAATTTACTGGTCTAGAGTTTTGTAAAACTTATATGAACATTGAGCTCTGAACCACTCAGTGCCCTGCTAGATCCTTTGTTTTTGATTCTTGAGTCATCTTATTTTTTATTATTTTTGTCTTTAGCAGCAGATTCACTCTTATATCAAGATCTAAACAGCTTCCTCTTAGGTGATTCTCATATTAATCCTCGTGGTTTTCAGCACATTTGAGTGCTTTGTTTACACTGAGCACATACCCGCATTTCTAAATTACATTCCAATATCTGAAAAACTCCTGGAGTAAACTCTTACAAACTGCACCATTTCATATAGTTCAGTGTATGAGTACCTTTAATGCAGTGGTGCCCAGTCCTGGTRCTGGAGTACCACAGTCCTGCATGCTCTCTGTGCTTTGACACACCTGATTAAACGCTTCTGCAGCGCTGCAGAAGAGCAGGAAAACAACTGCAGCACCYTCAGGTACAGGCAGGAAACCTGAGCTCCACAAGTGGTCCAGCTCTGCCACTCCCCCCTACGTGGTCCGGCAGCGTGGGCGCATATCCAGGCCACTTCTACGCGCAACGTTAGAAACCCACTCGCATGTAGGCGACATCCTGACAGGAAGCTCCGAGCTCTCGGGTTAACTTTAATCTCGTGCTGTGAACGTCCTGCGCGTGCCAGAACTCATTTGAAGACGCAGATTTGATGGTGTATACTTGCGCGGATCCGTTAGTTCTCTTGTCTTGTCTGCGCTTCGGTGTCTGAACTAGTTCCTGGCAAGAAGTTTTTTTTTATTTTTATTTATTTATTTTATTTTGTTCATCGCAGCGGCATGGAGACATGTAGCGGCTCCAAACCGGCGTGTCAGTGCGCCAGGCCCGCGGCGGTCCAGCGGGGTCTGCCGGGGTCCCTCATCACGGCTCTGTGCCTGCTCCTGTCCCTGAGCTCCATCACCGTCTGCCTGCTGATGAGCTTCAGGACCTCCGAGCTGGAGAAGCGGCTGCAGGCGGAGGTCACGACCGTCCTCCAACCAGCGCGCAGGACTCTCCAGAACCAGGACGGGACGCTMGTTTCCGAGCTGAGCGCCCCGATAGGGCAGCTGGTGGAAGAGGTACAGCATCATCACCATCACGTTTCTTTTTGGGGATTTTGGAWACACGTGTGTGCGTAAAGTTCGGACACACGTGCAAGTGAGCTTTTTACCCCATGTGTTCATCACCCACTGCTATAGTTTGCGTGTGTATAGTGTGCTTCTTGTTTGTCTGTTAGCAAAATATCTCACAAATTACTGCACGGATTTTATTGAAACTTTCAGAAATGAATCATTAGGTGCGCATTTAAATCTCATTACATTTCGGAGTCAACCCGATTCAAGATGACCGCCTCATCAAAGCTATCTTGACAAACACCCAAATGGCAACAAAATAGTCAGTTTTGCATATACTGAACTAAGATTTGGCGGTGTTGTAACTGAGACTGATCCACAACTTGAGCACTAACTGGTCGAGGTACATATGAAATTGAGCAATAACTATTGAAGTCAACTCTGTCTGTCTTTTAGCAAAATCTCTCATCAACCACTCGATGGATTTTAATGAACTTTCAGAAAGTGATCAATTGATGTACACCTACAACTTGTTAAATTTTGGAGTCAACTCATCTTAGGATAGCTGCAACAGCCAACAAACTTTAGAAAACACAATAATAGCTATAACCTACCCAGTTTTACAAACATTGAACTAAGGTTTGGTGTGGTAGTAGTAGATCCTCCTCCCCAACACATGCTTTGAGTGCAACACATTGTGCTGCATTTTTGTCAAAAAAAAAAAAAAGCTTAGCATTAGCTGTGAAAGTCAACTGTTTGTCTGTTAGCCAAATCTCTATTGAACCACTGAAAACAATCAGATGTACCTCTATAACCGATTAGGTGCAGCAGCAGCTAATCTGTATTAAGCTACACAAACATTTCTGTAAATCAGTGAATGTTACAGATTTTACAGAGAACACAAAATATGAAAAGCGGCGGGTGATATGCATTTCTGTCAAAGTGCTCATTACACTGTTGTCCTGCTTATAATACCAACAAACGGAAAATAAATAAAAGCTGCTATCTCATGCTTTTTATTAGAAGTACTTGTAATCATGTAAATATTCTTTGACGTAGTTTGAAATGACATGGGTTTATTTTTCTCCTGCTCCATACCAGAATTCACATCGCATGTTTGTGTTTTGTGTTCGCAGAAAATGGTGTCTCTGATGCCAAAGCTGAGAACCACCAGAGAAGTTGGCCAAGAGTGCTCCTGCCCTCCAGGTACCTGCCTCTTTTATTTAACACCTCCATTCAAAGGGCACACCAAATGTCAGCTGTCTGTCAGAGATAAAAGTGGATTTTAAAGCGTTTTAGCAGCCCGGTGAAGTGAAAAGTGGCTCTGGGTGTGAATTGTGTGTCTGTGTGGAGGACTTCACCTCCTGAACCTGTTTTAGACACCATCCTGTGACTTTATGGGGCTCAACAATCAGGCCGTTATTGGGTTGTCCAGCCTGGACCCTGCAGTCCTCTGTCAGTGTGTGTGTGTGTGTGTGTGTGTGTGTGTGCCAGGACTGGACCCCGTTTGGCTTCTGGTGTTTATTACAGGGCTTGTGATATTTCCTGGGGTGGAGAACAGTGTGTGATCCACATCATATTACAGACACGCACACACACACACACACACACCTCCCATCATGCATGTGGATTTAGGAAAGATGTTATCTCATGTCTTATTTGAGGTCAAGTTGCCGTTTGGTGTGATGTATGTGCTGATTGGTGCCCAGGAGCTGCAGTTTCAGTGTGTGTTTGATAGTTTACAGAGTTTAGCTGACCTGTGGAGGTTGGGCCTAATTGACTGYAATCATTTGACTTTTAGCAACAAGATGTGAACTGACAATCAGACAAACCAGTTATTTATTTTCTGAATCCAAAAGTTAAAGGAAAAGTAGATATTTTGGGATGCTTACTGCAGATTGGAGAGAGAGTTCTGCATCAGCACAACCAACTGGAAAGGATACAGCTGATTCTGTAGTTTCAAAATAAAGCTTCTTGTTTCAGCAGAGTTTCTCCGTTGAGTTACTCGAGARAAATCAGAAATATTCTAAAGAAAATGCATTTTTTTTATAAAGATGCAGTGTGGATATTGAAAGAAAATGGCATAGCTGAAATTGCTGAAGAAGCAGAACCTAAGAGGTTAAAGCTAAAAATAAGCAGAACACTACCTAAAAGATAAAGACAGCAAAYCACTGGCTAATAGCTAAAAGAAACAAAATGCCAGCTAAAAGCCAAAAGTAAGAAAATGCTAGCTAAAAACACCAAAAGGCTAGCTGAAAACTAAATGTGTATAAAGCAGCAACTGCTTTGTTGGAAGTCCAAATCAGGAAAAAGTCTAAATGTTGGAGAATGCAAGCTAAAAGCTATAAATTGCTCGCTTGAGGCTAAAATTAGCAATAGGCTGACTAAAAGCTAAAACGATTKGAAAAGATTAAAGCAACTATTCTGAAGCACATAAGAGAACAGTGTTTTTGAAAAAGATTCAAGTGATCCCAGTATTTTTAAATGAGAATAACGTTTATAAATAAAGTTAGAGATTTTGAAAAATATAAAAAGTTACAAGAAAACTAAGCATCTATTCCTTAAATGTTTTGATGCAAATGACTAAAAAAAGCACACATAAGTGATTGAATTACAGGAAACAATAGAAGAAAGCAGGAAAACAATGTGAATGCTGACTCAGCTAAAGCTGGAGTAAATGACTTCACTGCATTCAATGCTGCTGATTTCACTGAACTGTTGAGTAATCATCTGATTTTTTTGCACTAAATTCCAATCCTTGTTGCAAGTTTTCGAAAGTCTAAATTTCTTTTAAGTTTCTGGTTTTGAAGATGTGTGTGTGTATGTGTGTGTGTTGGGGGGTGTGGGGCGGGGGGTGTATGCTTTTCAACTTTGATCTATTTGCTTGGGGAACATTTTATTTTGTTCGACTTCTCTAGACCAGTGGTTCCCAAACTTTTTGTCTTCTGACCCACAAAATATCCATGGCAAAACCTTGTGACCCCGAATATTACTGGTCTGAGTACACAAACTTTATTAATAACCCTAAAAACACAGACTTTTCGACAATCTAAACAGCTTGTACACAAGTATAAATAC